TGAAAACGCTATTTTGTGTGAATAATTTTAAAACTAAAAAATGACAGAAAAATTAAGATTGTGCAAAATGTTTTTGGATTTAATAAAAATGTACAAAGCATGTAAAATGCGCCGACGTCAACAGAGAATTAGGCGGTGGGGTATCCATCCAATAAACCGGAATTGGTTAAAGAAGGGGTACCACCGTCAAGTGTTCAAAAGAATAAAGGCCATGACGGAGGAGCAATTGTTCCAACACACAAGGATGACTCGTTCGGTATACAACTTGTTGCTTACTTTGGTGGCTGATGCTTTGCGCAAACCAAGACAACGTATTGGTGTCGAAGAGCGTGTTTCGTTGACCCTTTTGTAGGATAATTTAAGGTTTTTTTCAATATGTTTGTAAATTAATGCATAATTATTTTTTTCATTTTAAAGGCACTTGGGACATGCGGCACCAATCCAAACTCTAGCCTGGAGCTATAAGCTGGGTAGGACAACAGTGCGTAACATCATTCTGGAAACTTGCGACGTGTTTTGGCGATTGCTTTCACCTATCTATGTAGCGGAACCCACCGAAGAGCAGTATAAAGATATTGCCAACGATTTTCAAACAATGTGGAACATGGCAAATTGTGTAGGTGCAATTGATGGGAAACACATCGCCTTACAATGCCCTAGGAAGTCCGGTTCGATGTTCTTCAACTACAAGAAATTTCATAGTATAGTCTTAATGGCTGCTTGTGACGCGAAATATACTTTCACGGCCGTTAGTATAGGAAGCTATGGTAGCCAAAGTGATGCAGGCAAGTTATAATAAAATAATTGTCGGCAATCCAAACTTTAATGTTTGCATTTATTTTTTTATTTCACAGGGATATTCCAGGTTTCGGAATTTGGGCAATCGCTAATTTCGAATACTTTGCCGTTACCGCCTGATAGACCGCTGCGCAGTGGAGCTGAACCCTTTCCTCACTTTTTTGTAGGAGACAATGCGTTTCCTTTGAGGCGAAATATAATGATGCCATATTCAGGTACCAATTTAAATAGAAGCAAACAAATATTTAACTACAGGCTTTCGCGGGCACGCCGAGTAGTCGAGAATAGTTTTGGAATTTTGAGCGCTCGATGGCGCATTATTCGCCGAACAATGGACTACAGTCCAGATAATTGCGAAAGTATTGTGTTGGGGTGCATTGCTTTGCATAATTTTGTAATGCTAAATGACCAAGAACGTTGGTATTGTCCTAATAATT